AAAAAGAATACTTTGAACTCTTAGCATCTGAAGTAAAGAATCAACTACAGAAACATAAGGAGGAAACCCAATCTGAAAAAAACACTGCACTAAAAGAATTAATAACTGCTTCTAAAGAAGACACTGATAAAAAATAGAGATTAGAAAAATGACGGATTCCTTGAATGAGCAATACAGGAAAGAAACAGATCGCATGAAGCAGAGTCAAAGAGATATAGAGGAACTTAAAATCTCAATCACAAGCTTACAAAACTGTTCGAGTGAAAGTGAAAACAGAGTTTCAGATCTTGAAGATGCTCGTGCACCTAGTGAAAAGGTAAGAAAAGATCTCTTAAAACATCTAGGATTGGGGCTGGGCAGATAGCTCAGTTGAATACGCATGTGCCTAGAAAGCCCTAGGGCCTGAGTTCAACCCTCGGTTCCCGCCAAAAAAAAGAAAAAAGAAAAACAACTAGGATGCAGGAAAAAATAATTAATCACTTGCAAGACGATGCAAAGATAAACAATGTGAGACTAATAGGTATCAATGAGAAAGAAGGAGTCAATACAAATGACATTAAAAAAATATGGGCAGAAGTAATAGCAGAAAACTTCCCAAATATGAGAAAACAACCTGACATTCAGGGAACCGAAGCATACAGAACGCCAAGTAACCTCAACCATATTAAAAACACACTGAGACATATAATAGTCAAGATCCCAGAAATTCAGCACAAGAATAATATACTGAAGGCTGCTAGAGAAAAGAAACAGAATACATTCAAAGGAAAACGCATCAGAATTACGACCGACTTCTCTTCACAAACCATGAAGGCAAAAAAAAAGCATGGAGCAGAGTACTTCAAATCCTCTATGACAACAAATTCCAGCCCAGACTACTATACCCTGCAAAACTCTCTTTCAAGTATGATGGAGAAATGAAATACTCCATGACAAAGAACAAAGAATTTCAAGATGACAAAGCCAACCCTACACAGGCTCCTGAAAGATGTTGTAGAGAGGGACAAAGTGATCAGAACTCCACGAATGAGATCAGAAGCAACCTACTAAATAGGGCAAACAATTAAACACAGGAGAAAAAGGAGTAAACAACAACAGGTAAATAACATATCAATCGTAAGTCAATACATCTCAATTCTAACCATCAATGTAAATGGACTCAATTCACCAATTAAGAGAAATAGACTGGCAGAGTGGATTAGGAAACA